CCCATCTCCTCACCCACGGTGATGGTTTCCAGCATTTTCTTCCACACGTTGTACTGCAGCGACCCCAGGTACTTGGCCACGTCCAGCAGCATTCCTGAGGGAACGGCCTCGGGCTCCTCAGCTGTGCAGGCAATCCTGGAGCAGGGATTGGACACGGGGAAAAGATTGGGATGGGCACTGCAGCCTCTCAAATCCCGCCCTCTTTCCAAATTCCTACAAAATCCGTGATTTAACGCTTCCCTCAAACCCTGAAATTCCACTTTGCGTCCCCGCGTCCCATTCTGGGGATGTCCAGCATCATTCCCGAGGGATCGTGCAGGTGATCCTAGAGCAGAGATTGGCCACGGGGAAAGGATCGGGATGGGCACCGTCACCTCCTAAACCCCCCCCCCTTTCCAAATTCCCGCAAAATCCAGGATTTAACGCTTCCCCCAAATCCTGAAATTCCGCTTTGCGTCCCCGCGTCCCATTTTGGGGACGTCCAGCATCATTCCCGAGGCCGTGCAGGCGATCCTAGAGCAGGGATTGGTCATGGGGAAAGGATCGGGATGGGCACTGCCACTTCCAAACCCCGCCCTCTTTCCAAATTCCCGCAAAATCTGGGATTTAACACTTCCCCCAAACCCTGAAATTCCGCTTTGCGTCCCCATGTCCCATTTTGGGGACATCCAGCAGCATTGCCGAGGGAACGGTCTCGGGCTCCTCGGCCAATCCTAGAGCAGGGATTGGCCATGGGGAACGGATTGGGATGGGCACCGCCACATCCCAAACCCCGCCCTCTTTCCAAATTCCCGCAAAATCCAGGATTTAATGCTTTCCTCAAACCGTGAAATTCCATTTGCATCCCTGTGTCCCATTTTGGGGACATCCAGTATCAATTCCCGAGGCCGTGCAGGCGATCCTAGAGCAGGGATTGGCCACGGGGAATGGATTGGGATGGGCACCGTCACCTCCCAAACCCCGCCCTCTTTCCAAATTCCTACAAAATCCGGGATTTAACGCTTTCCCCAAACCCTGAAATTCCGCTTTGCGTCCCTGAGTCCCATTTTGGGGACATCCAGCATCATTCCCGAGGCCGTGCAGGTGATCCTAGAGCAGGGATTGGCCATGGGGAATGGATTGGGATGGACATCGCCACATCCCAAGCCCCGCCCTTTTTCCAAATTCCAGGATTTAACGCTTTCCCCAAACCCTGAAATTCCACTTTGTGTCCCCGTGTCCCATTTTGGGGACGTCCAGCAGCATTCCTGATCCTAGAGCAGGGATTGGCCATGGGGAAAGGATCGGGATGGGCACTGCCAGATCCCAAACCCCGTCCTCTTTCCAAATTCCCGCAAAATCTGGGATTTAACGCTTCCCCCAAACCCTGAAATTCTGCTTTGCGTCCCATTCTGGGGACGTCCAGCAGCATTCCTGAGGCCGTGCAGGCGATCCTAGAGCAGGGATTGGCCACGGGGAATGGATCGGGATGAGCACTGCCACATCCCAAACCCTCCCCTCTTTCCAAATTCCCACAAAATCTGCCCCAAACCCTGAAATTCCTCTTTGCATCCCCGCGTCCCATTCTGGGGACATCCAGCGCTTCCTGGACTCAGAGGGAGTGGTGGAATTTTCTCGGAGCATCCAGCCCCCTGGGAATTTCCTCAGCCATTCCAAGATTGCGGCGGGATCAGGACCTACCTCCTCTTTCGGTTCTTGTGCGCCTGAAAAAGAAAAAGCCGGAATGAGCCGCGCCGGGAATGAGCTCCCGGAGCTCCGAGAGCAGCTCGGGGGGTGGAGAAACCCGGCCGGAATTACCATCAGGAAGGTGAAATCGTCCTCCTTGAG